ACTCAGCTGTGCATCAAGCAAGAGACTTGTATGGATTGATTTTATAATATATAGTACAGATGTACTTGTACAATGGATAGAAGTAATACTCAATGCAATAAAAAAGCCTTTAGGTTAAAAAAGAATTATGCCAAACTGTTCGTCTCAGCAAAGTTTTACCATCTTGTGCGCATATGTAAAACTTATTTTTTCATTAGCTCTTGGTTATAGATAGTATTCGATCTCGACTACTTATGCTGCAAATACGAGCTCTTAATCAACTTCCTAAACCAAGATATAAACATCAGAAATTCGACTTTTATACAAGTATCGTTTTAGGCTATTTTTAGGGCTTTTACAAAAAACTTTTACAGAACTTTTACAGAAACTTTTACAGAAAACTTTTTAACTTTTTAACGAAGTAAGTTCGAACGAAAAAATTGAAATAATAATTCAATAAGGATTATGGGAAGTAAACAAGGGAAAGTTTTCTTCAACATAATGCAAGTTCTCCTTGTGAAACATAATATCACTCGGTCTATTAAAATAGTTTCAAGTGTTGTCTGCCGACATTCCGTTCTATATACAATTGTATGAACAACTATTTATATATATTTTCTTACTTAAAAAGCGCTCAAACGAAATGTTGCAACTATAGAATATCAGACAAAAGTTAGAATTGATGTAAGTCACAAAATCGTACAACAACTCGTTTCGTTCATGTGGCGTTCAGCCTGCACTGCATTCAGCTCAAGTATCAGTTGACCTTCATTTGGGGTGTAAACAACCGTTATTTTATTTCTTTGAGCAAATTGTATGACTTCTGGTTTAATTCTTGGGGTTTGTTCTTTCGAATTGTTTCCAATGCCCGTTATAACCGTTAATTGATTATTGCCATTTGCACTACAGTCATGTACTTTTTTACTCAAAAATGTGAGAGCTTCATCAACACGCAGGCCATGTAAATCAATAACACTTGATGGACAATTTTTATTGTAAAAATGGAATATAAGTTCAGCTGCTTTACGATTTTTATCGTTCATTTGATTGTATAATTCTTGTTTTTCGTTTGATAATTGTTTCGCTTGAGATTTATCGCCCAATTTCCACATCGTTTGTGACAGCTGAGA